ACTTATCAAATGATGGGAAAAAAAAAGAATTGTCACCTGAGAATTCATCAAGGACAAGAAAAGGGTCAAAATATTTCAGCTCAAACCTGAGAATAAAATAAACAAAATTAATTCATGTCTATCATATATATAATTCAGAAAAAAAAAATGGTAAATAAAAAAAAAAATTGAAAAAATCTAAATATCTATATATTTATTTTACATATTTTCACCAAAAAAAAATTAAAAATAAAAATAAAAATATACGGTATCATCCCGTCAGGTGTTTTAACCGTTGGATCCACGTGTAGTTAGATAAAATAGATGATCACCCGACGGAGTGATACGGAACAGTAGCATTTTTCGATTATTGTATATACCTGCCAATGCTTCTTCTAACGGTAGCCCCGACGCCTTCACGCTGAGGCCTGGCTAGAAATTTCTTCATCACAGCGCGTGGCTCTCTCACAACCACCTCATTTGACATCTCTCTCTCTCTCTCTCTCTCTACCTTTTTTTCTCTCTCTTTTTTTTTTTTTTGGTCTTTTATTTTATTTATTTATTTATAGTTGGTGTAAAAAAAATGTTAATAATAATAATAATAATAATAATAATCGATGAATTAATTTTATCTATTTATTTTAATTTATTTTATTTATGTGTAATGAAAGAGAGGTTTGAGTTGTGTTTATATAGGGGACGATGAGATGAGAGGGGAGTAGTTATTTATTTATTTATTTATTTATTTATTTATTAATTAAATGGGATAGTTGAAATCGTTGGCAAGGTCAAACCCAACACAACGTGGGGCCCAGCTGGCTTTGAGATCTTCGAACTTTGTTTCCAAAACAGGTGGCGTCATCATGACGCACGCATTGCACCATCCAGGTTCTTCTATACTTTTTCCTCATTCATTTATTATTATTATAATGTATGTCTGCCTAATACATTCAACTTGTAAGAAAGAAAAATAAAAAAATTAATAGGGGATTCTATATATATTTATTATGTTTGATGGATATGTGGTAGTGAAAAAATGGATACATATTTATGTTTATAAAATATTGATTTATCAATCAATGTGATATATATATATATATATATGGTACGATATTCAATTTTATCAATCAATGTGACCGACCTCGAGCTGTAATTCACCCGGACCGGAATACTATAGGTCGACCAGAACGATTATACCGAGTCATCTCTTTCCGAGACAATGGAAAGGCTAGGCGACGCGACGACCTACGTATAGAACGACTTAGGTTATCTGTTTGGACTTCTTGTTCCAAGAGATCTTGGTTCCGACGACGGCTGCGTGTTGCGTGTGAGTCGAGGACGACGACGGGGATGGCGGAGGTGGGGCTAGCTGACGGCGAATCCGGCGATCGATGGTTGACAGACGCGATTTGGGCAAAAAAACGAGTGACGGAAGGGTTTTTTTGGGCTGTGGTTTGTTTTGGAAAATTAGACATGTTTATTCTAATATTTTGCAATTTTTAAACTTTTAATATATGTATATTTTTATTTATGGAGAATATTTTATATTTTAATAAAGATTAATTCGTGCACAACAATGACGCAATAGATGCACAATGTTGTGTGTAGTTGCACACTTTAAAAAATGTCATATGTATAAAAAACTATTAAAAATTTGATAAATACGCTATTTTTTTCGATAAGTGAATTGCACAATATTGTGTATAAATACACGCTATAAAAGTAAAAATAAATAAACAAAATGAAATATAAAATTTCAAACTGAAAATTTCGACATATATAATCGGTTTAATTTGCCGGTTACATAAATAATAAAAATAACCGACCTAAATTATACTACCTCTTATTCTTTTTAAATGTCATTTTGGCTATATCAACTATTAACACAATAAATGTCGTTTTGGATATTTTGTACATACTTTTCTATTATTACCCTCATCTAGTTAATAAACACATTACGTCTTTTCATATTAACTCTTCATTTTTTTCTCAAAACATTCATCTTTATCCTCATTAATGAGGGTTATTATTAGAAAAAAATATTTTTAATAACTGTACAACTTCTCAAAACGTTACTTATTATGAATAGGAGGGAGTATTATTTATTATAAATAAAAGATTAGTATTTAATATTTTTTATTTGATATTTTATATTATATTATATTAGAAAATTAGTATAAATGGAAACATAATATCTGATGCAATCTAACAGTTAGTAAAGTGCAATTCGTCCAACACTATGGTGCACGATGTCGGTCTGTATGTGTAGATTGAAGCAACTGAACTTTTGTCTAAAATCAAATTGAAAATGAGCATAATTAATTGGTTTATTCGGTACGATTAATCGAATTATCCAAAATAATTAAAATAATTTGTTATTTATATTAAAATTATATTTAATATGTTAATAACTTTATTTATTTTTTTATATCACTTTTGGTTGAAAAGATTTGAGTTCGTCGGTTTTGATCTCTTTTGTGCAATTTGATATTCGTGATAAAGTGCAACGTGACGCAAGACGTCCTATTCCGACGCTTACCTGTCAGCGAGCCGCACCCGTCCGCATCACTGCATTACCGACTGAGACGAGCTATGCCGAGCCCAAGTGAGCCCAGCCGAGTCTAACCGAGTCAACCCGGCGAACCGAAGCTGATCCAACCGGCCCGAGCCCGACAAGCACGATTCGGTGATCCGTTTGTGTTTCAACGACTCGATTAGCATCTAGAAAGGCCAAGTCCGGCAGCCCATAAGATTCTGGTGTTCAGACGATCTCCATAAACGGAAATCAGAAACGTATCAGAGTCGACAAAAAATTTAAATGGTAATGTCCTAACCCTAACTATAGATTCCGTTGTATTAATGTTTATTTTGTCAAATTCAAACGTGCATGTTGTTGACGTTTCTAACAGAACCATAAAATTAGATCATCTGATCAAAACGATTTATTCATATTTCTTTCATTGAGCACTATTCTCACTGGAGCGCGACCATATATATATATATATGTATGTATATATATATACACACAATAAATCTTCCTAAATAATTGCACATATATATTAATCATAATTTTTATTTCTAATTATACCACAATTCTAAAAAAAAAAAAAAAAAAAAAAAAAAAAAAATTGTTTATACACACACCCTAATCCCTAATTCCTGCAGCACATCAACAATTCACTCATCTTCCTCTACACTACGACCACAATTCTCTCATCCTCCTCCTCTATCGTTGCCGCCACCGAGCCTTCCCTTCCTCTCCGATCTCCTCTTTCCCGCGCGCAGCCCATCCCTTTTTACCCAAAATCTCCTAGTCGTGCTCGTCATGGCGACGCCGTTCGTCCTGTTGCTGACGCACGCCACCGCCAACGTCCTGGGGTGCTGCTCATCACGGTGGTGCTGGTTCACGCCACCGTGAGGAGTACCGACGATTTGGTCGCCGACGAGGAATGTTTGTATTTCGATTGTTCTCGGCATAAATTCAACCACATACCACCATTAACGGCCCAACAAAAATAACCACAAATATATATATTTATTGATTAATTTTTTTGTCAATGTCTAATTTCTTAAAATCTTTTAATTGGAACTTTATTCATGGTTTCACACCACATGATTGCTCAATGAATTCATCCATGTGTACTAATTAATACTATCCAATCAAAATGTCTTTCTTCTTTTTTTTTTTAATGAAAAATCTCAACTACTTATTGGAATATCACTTCTGAGTTGTTCCACATTGATTTGATAGGGTAAATGAGCCTAATTTATAAGCCTAGTGATCTACTCCTCCAATAACCAATTGGTTTTGGGATGAAACCTCACTTGGGCTTCATTTGAACTAACACTCTTATGGTGCGCTTCACTTGTGTGGGACCGCACTCGTTTTGCCCCGATTTGAGACTACTTTTAATAGCATTAATTAAGAATTTAACCATGCTAAAAGATTTTTAGCGACATAATATTAGAATTGGACGGTTTCAAAGATTTTGATGTGCAGTAAAGTCTCCCCGTGTGCTGCAAAAAAACAGAAGTAGACCATGGAATTTAAGCACCGGAAAATGGAAAAACGTGAATTAAGTGAAGTAATGTGGACTTACAACTTCTAAGTGGGTAATAGCTAGTGTGTCATGCTTACGGCATGTCTAAGTGTATTTGAAAAACTAATGTTAGTGTCATAAGGTTTTAGTTTGATGTAAAAAATGTAAACAAGATAAGATCAGGTAGTGCATATGATGTGATTGATATGTTGAAAAAGATTTAAGTACCACTTATTAGATGTATTTTAATTGATGAGCCTAGACATCAACATAAAAATTATTATATTTTAATAAATTTTCTTTAAATATTTGCTTACACATATTTTTAAACTTAAATAAATTAAAAAATATGGTATCAAAATGAATATAACCTATTTTTTTTTTATTTAATCCACACCGCGCGTTCAAGACTAGACATGGCCACGTGTCGGCCCAGCTCGCAGACCCGGCCCGAATACGCTGGTTCTTGAACCGGACCCTTAGCCCTTAAGGGCCGGTTCCAGGTCTCCATTTTTCCTTTTTGACTCGCCGGGTCCATGCTGGTTCTGGGTCGAAATGTGGGTCATAGTTGAGATTATTTCTTTATTTTTTTTTTTAATAAAAAACCGGCGGTTCAATGAACCGTCGGGTTGGGCCGATTTCGGGCCCAACTTTTGAGGCTCACCGACCCAGCGGGCGGGGCGGGGCGAGGCTGTGAACTGGTCCAAAAGTTGGTCATGTCTATTCAAGACTTACGTCTACGGGTCAACCCTTACAACTGTTAATAACAAGCTAGACGACCAACAAAACGATACACACTTTAAAAAATGTCATATATATACAAAATTATTAAAAATTTGATAAATACGCTATTCTTTTCTATAAGTGAATTGCACAATATTGTGCATAGATACACGCTTAACAAGTAAAAAATAAAATAAACAAAATGAAATATAAAATTTCAAACTGAAAATTTCGACATATATAATTGGTTTAATTTGTCGGTTACATAAATAATAAAAATAACCGACATAAATTATACTACCTCATATTCTTTTTCAATGTCAATTTGGCTATATCAACTATTAACAAAATTAATGTCGTTTTGGATATTTTGTACATATTTTCTCATTATTACCCTCATCTAGTTAATAAATATACTACGTCTTTTCATATTAACTCTTTACTAGTACTAATACCCATGTACAACATGGGTGTTGAGTTGATGAATATATGTGTAAAGTTATTTATGTCTAATACCAAACTTAACTCCAGAGCAAAAATAATATAAAAATAACATCACGAAGCATAGATTTTCGTCATGTGAACATCCGAAACGTGAGAATCTACCACCTAGGTTCAACACGTTTTTAATTAATATATAGGGAAGAACTTTTTTCTCAAAACATTAATCTCTATCCTCATTAATGAGGGTTATTATTGGCAAAAAAAAAATATTCTTAATAAC